AGCCAAGTTCTAAAGAAACCATTAGCGAGATTTAAATTTTGGTGGAATTGTTTGGAAGATGAAAATATGTACCATATTTATAGTCTGGAGGCAAATCTGTCATTATTTTTACGTGACCCCATGGCCGTATCATGGAGGAGTGATGTACTAGAGATGATTTACCAAAGATTAAAAAAAGGGAATTTCTAGCCTTTATCCCCACATGTACTTGTATCGATACGTAGACCAGCTGGCAACTGAAATAGTAAATGACCGTTCGATTTGTTTTGTATACTTCAATTCCAAGTAATTGCAAAAATTCGGGCCGTTTACTCCGGCGGGAAAAATAAAGCAATGGCTCGCCTCATTACGCTTGCCTTATACCTTGAATCAAGCTTAAATAGTCTCCGCCCGTTAAAAAGCAAAATGAACTGCCTTATTTTGTCCCCCGTCCTCTCTGAACTGAACTCAATCATAAGAGAGTTGATACATATACAACGAATCGTGAAAATTCATGCGACAATTGTTTTTTTGCAGGGGGCGTGTTTTCACTATCATTACCATATATTCTTATGAAACATTATTTTGGTTAAATAAGCATCTACGGGGCAACTTCACAAAATCCTAATTGATTAAAAGTAAAAATAAGTAATGATCATCATGATAGCGTGAAGGAATGCTCTCCGGTAAACTTAAATGGATCTCTAATCTACACGGATACATCGTGAAGAACAGTTTAATATTAATATTAATATAACACTGGATTCATGATAAAGATTAATCCTTCCTAGCCTAACATCAAATAGCCAGCATTAATGCTCTGAAAGCAAAATTTCAGATGGAATAGAGTCCATCCATATAGTTTCGGCGAAATCAATTGAGCAATAACACATATGCATGTACTCTCTCCCCTTTGCATATTAAGCTCAGCGAATGGTTATATACGATGTAGACGCAGACTAGGAGCCAAAAAGCTTTAGGAACTCAGGTAAGTCGAAGCCAACTTTCATTGGTTAAATAATTGTATAGTTGCCTGCATTTGACATCTAGTTCAACTACTATTTGTGCAATTGTTCGCTAAGTCACTCTATTCCCATTATACTTAAATGTTTGCATTCCTTCAAATCAACTTTCAAGGGATAAATGTCTTAAATAGCTCGCATTGGAATCATATTGATCTTAAATGATTCTATTGAAGCCTGGATCAAATTTTAGTATAATCTGTGCGAACAATTTCGTTTTATATGTCAAGGTTATTGCATATTTTTATAGACTATTTTCATTATACATATACCTATTTATAGAACGCTGGTCTGGCATCATTCTTCTCGATGGCCGCTCTGGCCGTTAATAGTGCGATGTACTACCTCGACGCCCTCATTTATTCGCTTTCCCAAGTGCCTGAGAATAACTTGAGGACCGTCTTGACTGAAAAGGCCGGCATGGACAGGGCTTTACTTGCTTGGAGGGCTCTCGATGCTACCAGGACCGTTCTGCTCCTTGTCATATGGCTACTTGTTTCGTTGGGAGGCCGCAGCTCAAACCGTCTTATGGATAATTTGCACTTCGACCCTAGCCGGCAGGAACCAGGGCCTGATGGAACGCCGCCATCCGTAATTCAATAAACCCCCCACGAGGCGGATGAGGAACGTAGATAACTCAAATCCCTCATCTGTTTATCAACGAGATTACATTTCCATTCGCCCCGTGGCGAAATTTTCTCTTTGGAACCTATGAAAAACCGTCCGGCTTATCGGAGTGACATTTTTCTACTTTCTTAATGAGAAGGCCATTCTCTAAATGACCATCGAAGCAGTGCAAGAGGTTTGATTCTCTGGCGAAGAAAGCTCGAGTGCTGCCCTTCAGAAGCTTCAACGCCAACATACAAATTTGACTTGCTTACCAATTCTAATTCATCCTGAACATTATTCAAGCGTAGCCCTACCAAATTCTTAGCTGCATGTTTAGGTAAGCAGGGGGACTCAAAATCCAGTACGGGTGATACACCCCTTCGTTAAACGAACTTTCATATTAAATTATTAAAACAAGCCTCTGCATATACTTAATGCTTTAACTCCGTGCCTCAGATGCAAGCTACTCAGTATACTATATATATAGGGCTATCGTCACCAGTCTCCTTAATCATCTAACTCATTTCGTGTCAGATGACTGGTCAATTAGTGAGCTCACCTTAACTTAGAGTAGCATTGTGCCGCATTTGGCTATATATTAGTTTAGTGTCACCAACAGATAATCTCCACGTGCGAGACAAAAGTACATCTTTGATAATTATTCAACGTATTATGTAATAATGTTTCCAGGTGCCTTTAAAACTCAGGATGCTCAAGGAAAAAATTGTTACCACCCATTCAGACATATCATGAGAACGTATTGTATAAGCACCATTGCCATCAACGTGCATGTGATGAGGTGGACACCACTATGGACTGGAGAACAGGTGATTTTTGCCCATGAACTTAGATGTGTAACATTCCAAAAGGGTCTTTCCCTTGGTTGCAGTGTATGTTAAAACTAGCCTGTCTCAGCATCCCAGGGGGATATAGACAGAGGACTTGCCGTTATGCTTTCTCTGTGCCAAACACGTCTAGGGAAGAATAAGGTAGACCTTTGGATACTTTATGCACACATTGATAGAATCATTAAGAAACAGAATAATTCGAATTGAGTATTGTTTTCGTGACTACCAGTTAATCAGTAATATGAGATGTATTCACCCAATTTCGTTTAAGGTGACGAAGGACTGGTAGAAGAATTTTCCCTAATCACCTTAAACGAAATTGGGTGAATATATCTCATATTACTCATTTACTGGTAGTCACGAAAACAATACTTAATTGAAAAATAAGAGTATAGTAGTCGATTGTTACAGCAGATATACGTTTGCTTTATCGACAATTCCGCCAAAAGAATATGATATGACAAAATGCCTGGCCTTCCTTAAAATTCAC